TATTGTATAATAATAAGTAAATCGATGTTTTTCGTGGGCGGACTCAAGTTGTTCGATGTTTTCACGTACATTTCACATCAAATTTTATATGGCACCTAAAACTAGGCCACTTCATGACAACTATTTTATAATTTTGGAAATTCGGCAGGATTTTTATACCATCAGTTTTTATTTTAATTATTTTAATAAGATCGGATGGTATTTATTCATCCTTTTTTATCTTGATTGTTGTTTTTGTCTTATGAACTTAGCAAGTGCCTAGGGTAAATGGCTCAGATAATGGTTTTAATTGTTGCCAAATAGCTTTTATTGTAGCTTAAATACGGTTTTGAAATGGATCTCATTGCGTTTATCGTACAACCATTTTGCAGTAAATCAATCTAGAAGAGCTTCGAAAATATATCCTTCAAAACCTTCTCCAGGGTAGGCCAACTAGACAGATTCTAGCATCAATGAGGTTTTGGTGAATGCATCAATGGCAAAGCAGTCTTGACCAGGGTTTTATGAATGTTGTTTTATAGTAGCATTGTAGTATTTTATAAAACTTAAAATGTTACTTGGGTTGATTCAATATTCTGCGATTTACAGCCAATTTTGATTCACAAGAAGAAAAATGGCGGGTGGAAAAAAGTAACAGCACAGACAAACAAACATAACACTCGCAAGTTGTTCATCGAACAGGCATTTAACGGTCAATTTAAAAGAATTGAAGTTGGTAGTACCGCCACCTGTGGCGCGCATAATCAATTCCCTTGCGTTTGACATTTACACACTACCGCCATCTGTTCAGCGTACTACCCACCACAGTGTACTCAACAGATGGCGGTAATGTTTTAGTGACGATGTTTTACAGTGAGAAATATTCAATATGTTATGTCTGTTTGTCTGTGGTAACAGCTGTATTATCAAAATTCGGCAATGGAAGAGGTCAATACCGAAATTTCAGTAAACGCAATTGCTGATTTCGGTATTAACTCTATTTACTGAAGGGGGCAGTGAATTACTTTGCCAAATTTTTATAAAAATATATTGATTGCCGATATCTCGGTAAATTTTTTTTGATTAATCTCGAAAAAAATATGTTGTTTACCGAAATATCAGTAAAATTATGAATTACCGTGTCGGATCAATATTTTTCTTGCCGAGCTCGTGAATCTGTTTTAAGTGTGCAGAAAAAAACTCCACAAGCACTTTACTACTAAAGTTCAAAGATTTATTTAACTTTCCTCACAACATTTATTCTTAGCGGCGCCGGTGGTGTAGTGGTAAGCGTGATTACCTCTCACTCCAGCAAGCCTGGGTTCAATCCCAGTCGGCGCCGCCGGGATGTTCTGAGGTATAACATTTCTGATCACAAGGCAAGTAAAGCCGTTGGTCCCCGGTTCATGAGTTGATGGGTCGATAGGTAGGGTCCAGGTGTGGGAGCTACCTCTTTGGCGTCGGTAGCATTGGTGCTCAGCACGGAAAACAAGATCGACGAAAAAAAACATTTATTCTCCCTCTTTTGTTTCTTTAATTACTCCCTTCTTCTCCTACTTTCTTATAGCCTATCTAACCTTCTTTTCTTCGTCGTGGCCCCTCGGTCGCCGTTCGCTTCCTCTCTCTATCTATTTCGTGCGCTTGTCGTAATTGTACGGGGTGGCGATGGCGCCGTTTTCGCTGGTGGTCTTACGATCAGTGTTTATAATTTGAAAGTTGAGTGAGTCATTGCTCCAGGCTGTCGGCCAGTGACCCGGGCCATTCGTCGTTCATCGCCAGTTTATCGTGCCCGTTATTCTCCATTCTAAATGACCATCTCTATCGCCACCCCTCATGGACTCCCAACAGGCCGTTGTTCGTCCATCTGGTGGCGAGTTTTGCAATTTTCGATGGGGTGGATTGATGCGTTCTATGATAAGCTGTCCTAGCTTTGCCTACTAGGGAGTCTGACAACGGAGAAAACTGCACAACACTCACGAACACTACCTGTCATTATTTTTCTACAATTTAACGGAACTAAACATCACAAAATTCTCGAAACAAAAACGCTAGTACTTAGTTTCAAGGATTTAAACATAAAGTTCATGTGTAACCACACATACTATTCGTTTGACTCATAAATTTCATGTTTACTTCTGAGTGGATTCTGTTTATGTGTGGGCACATGAAAATCATGTGGATTTTTACATGGAAATTCATCAATAAAAATGTGTCGAATTTTATGAGTGTAAGGACTTTCCGCCGTTTCGCATCGTTCCTCTCTACAGTTACACGTCGGAAACTGATTCAAGCCGTGGTTGTGCCTATATTCACATATTGTGATGTAGTGTAATGCCACGGGATTTCTGCGACACTGAAAAAGCAGCTTCGTCGGCTTTTTACGTGTACAACCTCCGGCGCTGTGATACATTATAATTTTTTTTTTATTATAGTCACTTTAACGCTCTTGGGTCATTCGTGACTTGTCTGGGGGTGAGATTTGAACTCGTGACTTTTGCGTGAGAGGTATGGATTCTAACCACTACGTTGGGGTCGCCCCGCTGTGATACAACAGTTGCCGTCAGGAGCAACATTCTCGGACACGACCAACCAGCTAATAACCTTCTTCGCACCTGCTGCTTCATGAAACGAGGGTATGACGGTAACCTGCCGGAATACATCCATGAACATCTCTTATATGGACAGAAGCAACGAACACGATCACTCATCATTCCAAGACACACAACATCTAGCGGAAAGAGTGTCCTGATTGCTGGAGCTTCCGACTGGAACAGACTGCCAATAGAAATCAATAAGAAACCGACCATCACTGCCTTCAAAAGTGCTTTTAGTTCATAGTATCTTTTCAATTGTTGGTCTACAATATATTGAATTGGTTCCGCTTTTTGATAAATCGAAATTCTATCCGCCAGACTATGAACTATGATGTTTTGGATGCATTTAAACAACATAAACACTAATAAGTGTTGATTTTACAATTTGACCACATCTCCCTATAATCTCAAAATTTAGCAGACTATAGCTGTCAAATTTTCTTTTGGGAAAAATCCTCAAAAATTACTTTTCCGTTTTCTTTTCAGCTGCGTACCAGACTTAAGCCTGGTACGCAGCTAAAAAGTAATGACGTTTTTACATGCTACGGGATAGGACACGGAATGCTAAAGAAATTTCTTTTCCTTAGCATTTCTTGACCCAGTACGCAGTTCAAAAGAAATCGGTAAAGGAAAGATCGATTACATTATTATCGTGATCGACATGAAGGTGGCGCATTCTGAATGCAATTTCACTTTCCTTGCGGAATAATGGTCTGATCAATTATTCCGTTAGGTAATGTTGGCGTTTATTGCAAAACTGATGTTTTGGATGCATTTAAACAACAGAAACACTAATAAGTGTTGATTTTACAATTTGACCACATCTCCCTATAATCTCAAAATTTAGCAGTCAAATTTTCTTTTGGGAAAAATCCTCAAAAATTACTTTTCCGTTTTCTTTTCAGCTACATACCAGGCTTTAAGCCTGGTACGCAGCTGAAAAGAAAACGGAAAAGTAATTTTTGAGGAATATTCCCAAAAGTAAATTTGACAGCTATAGGGAGGTGTCTTTTGCTAAATTTTGAGATCATAGGTAGGTGTCGTCTAATTTTAAAATCAACAATTATCAATTTTTATGTTGTTAAAATGCATCCAAAACATCATTTTTACAACAAACGTTAAAATTACCTAACGGAATAATTGGTCAGACCATTATTCCGCAAGGAAAATGAAATTGCATTCAGAATGCGTCAAATTTTCTTTTGGGAAAAATCCACAAAAATTACTTTTCCGTTTTCTTTTCAGCTGCGTACCAGGCTTTAAGCTGAAAAGTAATGACGTTTTTATGTGCTACCGGATAGGACACGGAATGCAAAAGAAATTACTTTTCCTTAGCATTTCTTGACCCAGTACGCAGTTCAAAAGAAATCGGTAAAGGAAAGATCGATTACATTATTATCGTGATCGACATGAAGGTGGCGCATTCTGAATGCAATTTCACTTTCCTTGCGGAATAATGGTCTGATCAATTATTCCGTTAGGTAATGTTGGCGTTTATTGCAAAACTGATGTTTTGCATGCATTTAAACAACATAAACACTAATAAGTGTTGATTTTACAATTTGACGACATCTCCCTATAATCTCAAAATTTAGCAGTCAAATTTTCTTTTGGGAAAAATCCTCAAAAATTACTTTTCCGTTTTCTTTTCAGCTACATACCAGGCTTTAAGCCTGGTACGCAGCTGAAAAGAAAACGGAAAAGTAATTTTTGAGGAATATTCCCAAAAGTAAATTTGACAGCTATAGGGAGGTGTCTTTTGCTAAATTTTGAGATCATAGGTAGGTGTCGTCTAATTTTAAAATCAACAATTATCAATTTTTATGTTGTTAAAATGCATCCAAAAAATCATTTTTACAACAAACGTTAAAATTACCTAACGGAATAATTGGTCAGACCATTATTCCGCAAGGAAAATGAAATTGCATTCAGAATGCGCCACCTTCATATCGATCACGATACTAATGTAATCGATCTTTCCTTTACCGATTTCTTTTGAACTGCGTACTTGGTCAAGAAATGCTAAGGAAAAGAAATTTCTTTAGCATTCCGTGTCCTATCCCGTAGCACGTAAAAACGTCATTACTTTTCAGCTGCGTACCAAACCCTACGCTTGCACGGTAACAGTCAAATACCCTTTTATGAGTAAAACTTAACCCATTTTTAATAAGTGGCTTTACTCATTTATGACTAAATTATTTTAACAAAAATGAGTTTCTGCTAACAGTAGCTAACAGTTACTACTTATTTGGCATAATAAATTACTCATTAATTAGTAGTACCACTCTTATTGAAAATGGGTTAACTTTTACTCATAAATGGGTGTTTGATTAGTACCGTGTACATGGAAGTATATGCTAGTGTGTGTAAAATTATATTATTAGTGTAGTGTTCGTGAGATCCTGGTTGGAGAACTCAATAGTGTACCTTATTTGAAAGATCAGCGAAGAGATGAACAGCCTATGGCTAAAAATCTCTATAATAAAGGAAAAAAAAATGAAAGATCAGCGCTAGTAATTAGGTTTTGCACCGTCGGGATTAACCTCAATCTGATGACAGTTCAGTGGTACTGTTTACGTGGACTTAGTCGTTTTTTTTCTTGGGTAGATTTTCTCGATAATTTTTCAAACTGCAGTGAGATGTAAACCACACTTCTGCATTGTCCACGAGCAACATCCTTTCATCGCGCTGTTCCTCGACAATTTTCAAATTAAAGTTCGGTAATTTTAGAATATTTAATTTCGAAAAAACGACTAAAAGTGCTTGTAAACAGTACCACTGAACTGTCAAAAAGGTTCAGCCTATTAAAACTGAGTTCATTCGTGACGTCACGCTGCAGAACCTAATAAGATCGTATTATTGTATTCCTTCTGGCATATATTGTTAACAACAAAAAGATATACATTTTACGGTACTTATGTATACTTATTAATCTGAATAACATGAACTAAACATTGCAAACATCACCTACTTGTGTACAAGAAACGTTTTTCGGAGCAAAATTTAATATTTTTCACTAGAAACTTGTAATATGACGTGATATACAGATTGCAGCCACAGAGCTGCCAGGTGGTTTTATAAAAAATCTGTATCCACTCTATTAAAAAATCTGTATTTTCTGTATTGACGATTTTTTTCTTAATTAATCATGTTTTGTTGTTTTACAAATACAGTGCATACAAAATAACCATAAAAAGTGCTTAACCACCTATTCGGGCTATCGTACTAACCATACGGGATATAATTGCGCCATTTGTGATATCGTCCGTACTTATTTATAAGAGTGATATGAAGCCGTTTGAAAATGTATGGAGATTTTAGTTTCTATTCATTATCTTCCTGATAAGCAGTTTTAAATGCAAAAAAGTGCACGAGTTCATTACTATTTGATATTTTTAATATAGATGAATACAATTAATTACATCATTTGTGTGGTAGTTACACCGAAAAGTCGAGAGATGTTGTCCCGCCAGTGCTAGTAAAATCATTTTTGCAGTATGGAGAATATCAGAAAATCCGCAATTTCTTACGAAATACATTTTCAATGCAAGTAAAATGTTTACGAGTACTTGTATTTGTACCATTTTAATGTGCTCGGGCACTTTTCTTGTATTTAACATACATGCTTATATTGGAAATATTCAATTAATACTGTAAATCCCCATACAATCTCAAATCGTTTACTACCAGCTCCATATGCATCCGAAAGCGGTTGGTCCTCTGGTTGTGAATGCTGTCAAAAACACCATAACATGATTAATTGTCGATGGAAATTTGATAGGTTCCCGAGCAGAGGGTGAGAACAAAATGAAAACAAGAATTATGTTGTTTTCATTATTCCTGATAACTCAAATTGATTTCATTTTGATGGAGTTGATGAACAGAACAAAAATGAGAGCTAAAAGATATGTGAAGAATATCAAAATTATAACATATATTGATATTAGTGAGAACTGCTTGATAACTTATTTTGATATGGATTTTTTTTTCTCAAGCATTTAAAAAAAATCTGTATAAATCTGTATTGTAATTTAAAAATCTGTGATGAATCTGTATTCTGTATCGGGTCTGTATTAAGATTAAAAAATCTGTATAATACAGATAAATCTGTATAAATGGCAGCGCTGGATTGCAGCCATCTTTTATCATGTTAATATTGGGCGATCTTGAGTTTAAATAGCAATTGGCGTTGACGGCACCGTCGAAAAGTTTGCTCTTGCAGCAAATTTAGACAGTTTTATGGGAATTTTCGGTGGAGTGAAAAGATAGTACAAAGTAAAGCCCTACAGTAAAAGTATGGACGTCTGTCAAAAGTTGTTCCAATCGTACCGTCAAAATGCACCGTTTTGCTCAGCTGGGTGGCATGCCGCCATGTTATTGAAACCAACATCTGAAACGTCACAATTCCAGTGTGAACTGCAAAAATGGCGTGACTGAATTGTCTTATTTTTATCAAATGAAATTATTTTCCCTTTTATGCCATATAAATGGTTGACTTCGTGGTAGAAAATCAGAAAATAATATTTTATGAGTCCTAAGTTTATTTTTCACAAAATGTAAGCAAAAATATTAAGAATATCCATAATATCAGTCACGCCTTTTTTGAAATTCTGGCTTGAATCTTCTATTTGTTTACAAATTATGAGCTGTCAGTGGGGCCCGCAATTCGCGGGTCCGCAGCGATGTTAGCTCTTTTCAAGGCAAAGCAAGCAAGATAGGGATGCCACCTAGCTGGTTTTGCTCGATTGGAACAGCTTTTTTTTCAGTTTTGTGGTGACAATCGTCCATACTTTAACTAGAGGGCTTTAGTACAAAGTCCGCCATGTTTCACGCACAGTCTGACGTTTTCTTATGGATTTTCTCATAGGAGTAAAGAGCTACAGAGTCGCCGTCAACGCCAATTCCCAGTACAGCCCAGTACGGAAGGTTAGGCTACACGCTACGTTGAACGGATTCATGTTAATGTTGATCATTTGTCAACTTGTCACTTGTCACACAGTTTACCTAAAGAGCCTGAATTTATAAAGAGACGACATGTCAAAATTGGAACAATCGACTATCTGTCAAAGTCATACGAAAAGTCATCCCGCATAAATCACAACCATACGATTACCACATTAAAAATGGTTTATCTTCCTCTGAAAACCATAATGAGAAAGGTTCAGTCAACTTTAATCAAACCATACCTAGATAAAGTTTTGACCATATTGATTAAGGTTTTCGAAGACCCAACCATATGAACAATGGGTGGTTAAGAACGTTCACCATACGAAATCTCGCTTTTTCTCATACATTTTTAGCAAAACAACTATAGCCTTACCACATCAGAAAAGGTTCTAGTTGGATATGTGAAACTATTTCCATTAACTTTCGAATAAGGTAGTACGGTTTAGAACCAACCATTGTTGTTAACTTCATGATATACTATGAAATGGTATAAATTACTATACTTATTGACGTTATAATAAATACTGTCGTAGCTTATCCGGAATACAGCCATCATGGGTTGTTCTTTAATTTTAATGTGATTTACAAGATTTCTTTTTGTGGACACCTCCCTTGCTCTTGGTAACATGTTTATTGATCTAATATAAAATGAATAGATAAATGAATTTGCCCTGCAAAACAAACTCCATTCCATTTCTGAAAGATAAAAAGGCCCCGACATAACGTACCTGCTTCGATTTCCTTTTTGGATGATGTGAGCCACCAACATCGAAATCTCCTTCACATGTAAACCGCTGTTAGCCCTGAAAATTTGTGATGAAAATGCATGCGCTTTTAAGAAATATTTTATCCTTTAAGCTAATATTACCAAGGGTTTTAAAAATAAAATAACGAACAAAACAACACAATGAACTCACGAGCACCGTTTCAATCAAAAGCGTTTTCTTCTGTTTGTACAAATTGTAAAAACATAAAGCAACCATAATCGAAACACGTAAGCGTTGTACAAGTTGTTTACAACTTTTATTCGTAATGTTTTGTAACAGTTCAGTATAGTTGATCAACCGTAACAAAATTTAGCTGAAACATACCAGAAACTGTAACAGTTGAAAGTAGTGTTTCTTTAATGTTTATTACATTCCATAAACCATAACAAAACTATTTTGTGAAAAGTTAACATAGCTAGTAAGGTGTCAGTGAAGTTTGAACTGTTCTAGAAATGGTATTTTTCTATGCGGGATTCCAATCGAGCAGAAGACCTGTCAAATGGATAAGATGTCGTCTCTTTATAAATTCAGGCTCTTACGCGAAGATGGCGTCACTTTTATAATTAAAACCCTTATGAATATTTTTAACACATTGTTAGGGCTAAAATATATTTTTTCAAATGAATAAAAAGTACCCGCTTTTATATTATGAAAGTACCCATTTTTTGACAACTTAGAAAAAATTAAAAAAATGAGTACAAAAAACGCATTTAAAGGGTACTTTTGTGTTAGCGTGTTGGGTACCTTTTTCTTACCGTGTATAGTATCTAGTTTTGCCAGGGTGTAAATCTAGATCAACATTCGAAATAGACGTTCTTGCATTTTTTTTTGCCGTTCTTTAAACTGCATTGAATACCATGGAAATTTCTTAAAATGATATCACATTTTCCTGATGCTCATGTAAGATCTCTTATGTTTCTGAAATTTAAATAAAGGTCTTGGTACTTTGATGAAGTTTCAGAAATTCCCTGAGTTTCTGGTAACTTCTTAAACATTCTTCAATTTCCATGAAATTAGTTTATTTATTTATTTATTTTGCCCATTCCTGAAGTACTCTCAATTCTATTGAGTTCTCCAAGCAGGATCTCACGAACACTACACTAATAACATAATTTTACACACACTAGCGTATACTGTCATGTGCACGGTAAGAATCAAACATCCATTTATGAGTAAAAGTGAACCCATTGTAAATAAAAGCGGCACCACTAATTAATGAGTAATTCATTTTGCCAATTAAGTAGTAACTGTAAGCTACTGTTAGCAGAAACTCATTGTTGTTAAAATAATTTACTCATTAATGAGTAAAACCACCTTTATCAAAAATGGGTTAACCTTTACTCACAAAAGGGTACTTGACTGTTACCGTGCAAGCGTAGGGTTTGTTTTCGTTCTGTTGTTTATTTTTACTTTAGAATGACAGTTCTCACAGCAAACAAAAAAATTCTCACAGCTAACAAAAAATTTCATCTCACTAACACACGCAACTCGCACCAATACGAACCCGGCTGGGGAGGACTATTGAAGTTCGTTGTACTACCCTGAACCATAGAGGTAACTCTAAGACTAGAAGGTCCCGAAATAACGTGCTCAACTTTTTGGTTCAGCTCTGGTACTCTCTTCGGTCCCAAGCTAATCGATTCACCCCTCGAAACATAAGAAAAACCAATAACCCCTCATTTTATCTGTCAAACTTTCATAGCGAATCAAAACAAACATTGCGTAGTACTAGAATTTCGACTAGAATGGGGTACGTTAATCGTCTGCTTGGAACCAATAGGCTAGTCAAGTAGTGAGCCAATTTAAAATCGTTAGTTTCGTATTGATTGTTGCCTGAACTAAATAGAACTGACAAAAAAATTCTCGAAATTTATCTCAATTCTATTGTATTTACCGGAATTTATCGGAGCTTACACATACACATCTTTGAACTTTCCTACACGAAACGAAAATCAATTATTTTATTCATGTGTTTCACTTATACATTTTTGCCAAAGCATAAGCCTTATACATTCCATAAGACATACCACATAGCTCCTATAAGGATACATTAAAGGTATGTGTGACCGCTTATACATTTCATTTGACACATGATCTTCATTAACTTTTTGCAAGGCGTCTGCTTATTAGTTGACTTATACATTTTATGAATAATCAGCAATAGAAATTTGTCAAAAGGTATAAGGAGATTTCTATCCGTGTAAAAGTCTGGAATTTCTTGAATTTCTCGAAGTTTTGAAGTTATTGAAAGTGCCGTTAATATTTCTGGAATTCCCTAAAGCTCTCTAGTTTAATTTCTTTGAGGCACTTGGAAGTTC